CTCTCTCTCTCTCTCTCTCTCTCTCTCTCTCTCTCTCTCTCTCTCCCTCTCCCTCTCCCTCTCCCTCTCCCTCTCGCTCTCGCTCTCGCTCTCTCCAAAGTTTCTCTGTGTAACCCTGGCTGTCCTGGAACTCGCTCTGTAGACCAGGCTGACCTCAGACTCACAGAGATCTGCCTGCCTCTGCCTCCTGAGTGCTGGGATTAAAGGTGTGCGCCACCACACCTGGTAAAGTCATGTCTCTTTTAACAATTCCCAGGACAGCCTGTCTGTTTCGCAGTGTCTGGCCTGTTGTGACATAGGACATTATCCTCATTATACAGAAAGAGAAACTGACACTCAAGATCAAACAGAGCCCTGGCTGCCTCCTCGGCCCTCTCCACCAGTAACTGTCCTCAAGGAGGCATTCCAGCACCACCAGCGCCCCCTAGTGGCTCTAAAGAGGGACAGGTCACTGTCCAGGGTCTGTTTTAGGGGTCTGGGGAAGAGGATGTTGGTTTTAAAACAAAGATACGGTCTAAGAACAGTTCCTTCCCTGGGTTTGGGGCCTGAGACACACAGAAAGTTGAGTCCCAGGAGCTGCACTGAGGGCTCAGGCGTGCCTGCTGCGCAGCGTGACCTCTAAACAGCCTAACCTACACACTCTCCTCCCTCTTATTGGCCAAGCCGGGCCCTTGGGGAGATGCAATAATGAAAACGTAAAACACAGCTTAAAAGCATCAGGCCCACAGCCTGATCTTGGGCCTGACCACGGTCCCATTCAAGTCAGGAAAATCGTTTGGCCAAGAAATCTCAGCGTACTGCCTCTCTTTGCCTCGTCTTCCTAGCCCAGATGAAAGAGGTCCTCGAGGCCCGACTCCTACAGAGGCTGCTGTGGAGGGGAGTACAGGCCGGTCACCCTGGGGTCCCCTGCACTTGGACAGATTGAAAGCAGGGGAAGGCACATCAGGTCGGGGCCTCGATCCTGCTGCTCCCCCTCCCTGGGTCCACAGTATGTCCCAAGCTCCTCCCCTCCAGCCCCCGTCCCGCCACTCACTTGTGCAGACCATACTTGACTCGGCCCAGGAGCATCATGGACTTCTCACCCTTGATGTCTGGGTAGGAGGCTCTCTGGAAGGCCGTCTGGATGACCTTGCCTGTCTCCTGGTTCACTGGAAGGAGAGCTCAGTGGTGGGGTCTGCACACTGGGCAAACCTCACCTTCCACCAGCCGAGTCTGGACCATTCACTGTCCAGCCTCTCTGGGATGAGCCCCCCACCAACAGGCCTCTGGGTGGGAGCGGGGTGGGGTAGTCCTCAGGAAACACAGAACCCCTTCCACAGACCCTGCTCATATTCTAGGCTATACTTCCCAACACTTAGGAACTGCATGATTCTAGTCAAAAATGATATCCCCCAGCTCCAGCCGCACCCAGACCCCTGGCTCCCAGTACGAATACTGTGGAATATTCTGTGTAGATAACACAACTTAACCTCCACATATCATCCTCAGGTGGAGTCACAGAGAAAGCAGGAGAGCGAAGGTCACACAGCCTGACTCTGGCCACAGGTTGGCTTCTATCACCAAGGACACATAACCCCTAGCTTTGTCCCTAACCTGGTTCCCTCAGGTTACAGGGACTGTAACTACAGATTGACTCAGGGTCCTCCGCAAACCTGACTATTTGACATCTAGCGGGCACCAGCAACCTTGATCTTGAATGTGTAGTGGGAGGAGAAAGGCTGCCCCTCACCTCACTCTCACAGCTCATCTCTTTCTCCCTCCCTCTCTTCCTCCCCCACCTCTCTCCACCCTCGCCCCCAAGCTGCCAGGGTGCAGCCCTGCTCCGATGCTGGCTGGCTTCTGGCCACAGCAGACGTCCCGAGAGAAAGCCCCCTGGACAGAGATAGGCAGGCACTTACACACCAGAAGGGCAGACTTGGTGATGCGGCACACAATGCCCGCCTCATACGAGGTGCTGGTGGAGCAGGCGCAGGTGCTTCCCAGCAGGGCCAGGCTCAGGAGCGTCACAGCTCTCATGATGCTCCAGCAGCGGTGGCCAGTGGCCTGGCTGGACACCTACACTCTGCCTATATATGTGTTTGCCCAGCCCCCACGAGGTTCTTCCGGGAAGCAGAGTTTTTCTGGCTCCAAGGGTCTAACTCCTTCCTGCCCAGGACCTCTGACCTCCTCTGGGGTCAGTGCTGGCCGTATGACCAGGGTGCCCCACCCTCTGCTCATCCGCCCACAAGGACCCGCACCCTTCTGTTGTACACTTCCTTTAATTTATGCCCCCTCCATCCTCAAGTGTGCCTGAACTTTATCTCTCGCTTGTCATAAGTAAAGAAATCAAAATACAATGGTCGTTAAATAGCGGCATCCAGCTCTTGCCGGATCCTGCGGCCCCACGGTGACCTAAACTGGAGGTCTGCCGCTGCATGCCAAAGGGGCAGAGGCCTGTCTGGTAGGGACCTGGATCCCAGCCTCTCCTTTGCTGTCTGCTGAAACACCAAGAACCTCTGATACTCTGACAGGAGCTTCCTGGAGCATTCAAACCATCCCTGGGTACCATTACAGCACCTCCCACCTCTGGCGGCCTGTACAGCCTGCCCTTTGGGGTGCTCCTGTTAGAGAACACTGAGTTCAGTTGCTTACATCCTTGTTGTCTGAGGAAGAGAGGGGGGGGAGCTGGCCCAGAGAGGGGTGGGGGAGCTGGCCCAGAGAGGGGTGGGAGCTGGCCCAGAGAGGGGGGGGGGAGCTGGCCCAGAGAGGGGGGGAGCTGGCCCAGAGAGGGGGGGAGCTGGCCCAGAGAGGGAGGGGAGCTGGCCCAGGTCACATGCAGTTGGTGGCAGCTTTGTCTAGACGTTCAGGCCCTGGGTCCACATCTTTAAGGGTTTTGAAGACCCCCATTACCTTTTCCTGAGGTGCTCGGGCACACCCTAGGCCCCTATGCTCCCCCCCCCCCCCCCCCGCCCCCGCGCTCAAGATCTTCTTGCTATTACCATTCCTGGAATCAAATTGTTCTGGATTCTGAATCATTAGGGCTGTGAAGCTTTCATGTCCTTAGCTCCAGATGCCAGAGAAGGAACGAGAGAGAACATCATCAGACCCAGGCTCATGCCAACTGTTCTGGAAGGCCCAAAGAGTCCCCATGAGGCAAAGAAGAAGGTCTGTGGCCAGCGGAACATAGCTTCAGAATGCCTACTCCAAGGGACAGGGAGCCAGGGGACCCAAGGTTCAGTGTCTGCCTGCCCACTTAAACTTGGCTCCACGTGCTCTGGGATAGTAGCAGGAGCCTGGCAGCTGCGGTGGGGGCTGGCAGTGCCCAGACCTCAGCTACTGCAGCGGTGGTTCCTATGGTCAGGGCCCACCCTGGCCTCCCTCCCTCCTCTGCCACTCACTTGATACAACATCATTCGCCTCGGGGAGTTCTGGTGCTCCCGAAAATGTCTCGTAGTCATCATAGTATTTTAAAAATATAAAATGGGAGCTGGGTGGTGGTGGCACACACCTTTAATCCCAGCACTCAGGAGGCAGAGGCAGGAGGATCTCTGTGAGTTCCAGGCCAGCCTGGTCTACAGAGCAAGTTCCAGAACAGCCAGGACTGTTACACAGAGAAACCCTATAATGGGGGCCTGCAAATGTGGCTCAGGGTTTGATCCTTAGGACCTGCAAAAAACCGGGTGTGAGGGCACATGCTTGTAACCACTTGTGTGGCGGAGGAGAGAGGATTAGAAAGTCAAGGCTGTTCGTAGGCTGTGTAGCAAGCTTAGGACCAGCCAGGGTCACATGAAACCTTGTCTGTCTGTCTATCTACCATCCATCCATCCATCCATCCATCCATCCATCCATCCACCCATCCATCTATCATCTATCTGTGTGTCCATATATGGACGATGTATATCTGTACATATATAGGATTTATGTAGTAGAGAAGATGTAGAGAGGAAAAATGTCAATTCACTTGGGGCTGACAAGACGGATCAGTGCTTTAAAAGGTATACTGCTCTCGCTGAAGACCCGAGTTTGATTTCCAGCACTCATGTCAAGAGGCTTATAACTGCCTATAAATCCAGCTCCAAGGAATCTCATGCCTCTAGTTTCTGTGAGCACCAACACATGCACACACCTAGACATACAGACACATACCCACAGACACACACAGATACACATGGGCACACACACAAATACACATACACAGACACACATGGACATGCCCATGGACACACACACACACACACAGTACACATGTGAACACACACACAGATACATACACAGATACACACAAATTAAAAATACGTATCTTTTTTTAAGAAAAGAGATCAATTCATCTGCTAATCCTTCCATTCCAAAACCAACTTATTGGGTAGGGGTGTGTAACAAGCCTTTAGTGTCTCTGAACATTTAGTCAACGGATGAATATTCCTAATCACCCACCGTAAGCAGGTCCGGGATGAGAGACGGGAAACAAGACAGCTTGGCCTTCTCTCCTGGACCCTGAGGTTCACATGCAGAAGCAGTTTCCACCTCTCAGACGCAGGCAGTCACGTGATTGCTGACCGTATAACTCCCCACTGCTCTGACTGATCTTGCTAAAAGCCCCTGCTCAGCGGTCAGCATATGCATCGGAGATCATAGCTGAGGTGTGTCTCCACACAGTAGGATCTCATGTAAATGCCGGTTGAATTGGATGTGAATTGGAAAGCATGGGAACTCACTCTTCATACAGGTCTTAGTCCATTCTCATGATAACTGTGAGTAATTACCTCTGATTCTCCATTCCCATCCAACAGTCTGAGTGCAGCAAGATTCCTCCGGGTAACACAGCTGAAGGACGTTATAGGGCTTTAAACCCCAAAGGCCACATTCTGCAGCCGTCTATAAAGTGCCAGAGACAGTCATCCTCATCTTCCAAGAGCAGCCACCAGGTCTCTGACACACTGTGGGCAGTGAGACGGGCTGCTCGCACCCTCCCACGCTCCCATCCAGCTCTCCCTGGTGGCAGGCAAGACTGACCACTAGCCAAGAGTCTGCTGACCGTGTAGTGCCACATTCTCCACAGCCCAGGCCCCCACAAGTCTCTGGCACTGGAGAAAGGGAGAGCCGAGGCGCTAGTGACAGGGTCTGTGTGGCCACTGGGAGCCTCTGCTTCTTCATCTGTTAAATGAGATGGCCCTCCCTGCCTTTAGTTCTATAGGACCAAAGGCTTCTATAAAGAGCCCAACAGACAGACTCTGTGACGTTTGAATTTCAAGTGCGGTGGGTGTGTTACCTTTCCAAAAAGTACAACATATGACATCTGATCCACAGGGGCCAAGAACTGCCTGCCCTGTTTTCACTGGGACCAACTCACCGATTGCTGCCACTCACAGCCCCTGGGAAGGAGCCAAGGATGCAGGGACTTGGACAGGACAGCCCATATGAGGAAGGCCCAAAGAAATGGAGGGCAGGAGTAGACTCACTTGGCACTGTCTCAAGAGTCACTCCAACGTCAAGAGTTCAAAGCTGCTCAGGAACAGGAGCAAGCCAAGCCTCACAGTTTCCAGGATTCGGAGAGGCCAGTCTGCTGCTCCTGGGCACACTACCCTCAAGGTTCATACCCACAGCCATGGTGAGGACCCCCCTCAGCTGAGAGGGTGGGTGAATGGAATGTAGCCTTTAGCCCAGACATCGCTTCCTGGGTATCCCACCCACACAGGAGCCTCCAGTGTTAGGGTCATGAGGACTTCCTGGGGCTATTGTCCTAGCTGCTGTTTGTGTACAACTCCAGGGCAACAGAGGGCAACGACCCAGGGTGCCCCATCAGGGAACTAGCGGTCACTGGACTAAGGAGAGAGGCAAACTCCACACTCTAGTACAGGGGCCTCACACCAGTGAAGTAGTGTGATTGGGAGGGTAATGGATTAAAAAAAACAAAACAAAACAGTCAAACCCATAAACGCCCACCCTTCAAGCTTGGGAGACTATCTCAGTCCTTATAACTGAAGGTCAGGAAAAGCGTATGCCTGTACCTCCAGTACCTGGGAAGCAGAGTCAGGAATTCTAGGCTATCATCAGCTGCATAGTAAGTTTGAGGCCAACCCTGGCTACGTGAGCCTTTGCCTTAAAAACAAAACCCCTCAACCAGACATGCCTGCTTCAGCTTTTTATTTAGCTCGCTGGTGGTCCTTCACCTTTGGGCAGGCTCAGGGGCAGCAAAATTGGCATCGTGGTCACCTGTGGTAGTCCGGGACTTCTGATGGGTCTCCAGGGCCCTTTCTCCTCTCCCCTGAGGCTAGTCCTGCTGCTGGGGCCCTTCAGGATCAGCCGCAGACAGCTGCAGCCACAGCACTGGTCATGATGCTCCAGGACTTCTGGAGTATGTGAGAAGATGTCTATTCCCTCTTCATAGATAGGGCCAAAGAAATGATTCCGGCCAAGTCTAGGTTGTTGAACCCATGAGTTGGGGCAGAGGAAGGGGTTTAGTTACGGGAGCATGAATGACTCAAAGGCTTCCATATCACTTAAAAGCCCATGCCAGGACTCCCATGGGACTCTTCCAAGCCCAGGACACCTCAGTGACTGACAGAGAGCTGGCAAGGTCACAAGGCCCTGGCAAAGGCCCTTTTCACCCTTCATCCGAGAAGCCCCTCTTTGCAGTGAATGATAATAAATACAGAGACCGTAACTCCTTAAAGTGTTGGTAGTCAGTGATGGTTGAGTGCTCAGCCCTCAACAAGACATTCATACTGTCCCTCTAAAACACTGAGGGGTCGGGGCAGAAAAAAACCTAAGAGCCAGGATAAGGAGGAGGGCTACAAAATGCCATCTTCTGGTAAGACACAACTGTAATCACAAACGCAGAGCAGCTGGGGCTGCCGGCCAGTGGCCAGGCATGGATCTGAGAGGCTCGGGTAGAGTCTGGGAGGCAGGGAGTTATTTTCTAAGTTGTCTTCCCACCAGAGCCTACCAGAGTCCCATGAGTAACTTCAAATCAATACTCAACAGGTGGCCTTGGTTAAAGCGTCTCTCACAAATAAAGAAGACGTGCATCTTAGGAAGGGTCTTGTGGGGAGGAGGCGGGGGTTGATAGGGATGGTAGAGAGATAAGAGATAGTGTGGGGAAAATAATCAGAATGCCTTAGGTACGTATACAAAATGGTCATAAAATAAACTTCACTAAACGTTAGAAATAATAATGATAAATAAATAAGTATTTTTTAGAGTTAAAAAGATACCCGAGTGGAGAGCAGAGCAACTTGCTCTGTGCACTGAATCACGTCAGCAATATTGCCTCCTTCTTTGAAAGAACTTGACTTTGAGAACATGGTACCACTCTGCCTGCAGGGACCGGAAGTTTATATATTACATTTCGTTACAAGAACTCTCATACATGAAACTGAGAGGAATCCTTGAAGCCTACATATCCACTGTGAAATTTTATTCATCTTACCTGGAAAAAAAATGAAAAATCCTGGATAATCCATTAAATTTTACTAGTGCTGTCAGAGTGAGGGGG